TTTTTTTTTGCGAAGCATCTGTGATGATCTTTATTCCAAGGGCCAAGTCCCACTAGCGGCGTTGAGCTACCTCAACGCCCGAATCTGGACGTGCTTGTGGAGACGTAGAGTTCAGGAAACTCAACACCATTTCTGCACATCTCCGCAAAAGCGTCCACATTCAAGCGCCCTAAAAATGAATGTATACAAGCTATATTTCGGGCCAGATACAGCCAAAATAAGGGTGGGTTGTGTTCGGGGGAAGACGGTAGTGGGACTTGGCCCCGGGTAGACTGTGAGGACCGCAGCCTCTGGTTCTATGGATACTACAAGCCTTGGGCACTGGGCCAGTGTTTTGGGGGGGGGAAATGAACACATTTGACGCACACTGCCTTCGAGGGGACAGTGGTGGGCCTCCTGGGAATGAATCTTCCCCCATGAATTGGGAAGATGCGCCACCGTTTTCTTTTGTGTTTTGACAACAAGTGTCGGGGCTCAGGAATGTGCAAAATGAGAATGAATCTCCCTCTAGAACCTTGGAAGATGCACTGCCGTTTCTGTATTCACAGCGGTGGTCCAGGACCGTGTGGGATCTAGACGATCCTCCCCTCGACGTAGAACGGTCTAGAGGATTCGAAGCGAGGGCTGGAGCTGCGGATTCGACATTCAGCTGGCCACCGACTCCTACCGTCTTCACCCGAATAGAACGCCCGGTCATTATAGCTGCATCTGGTCTGGAAGTTGCCACAAATGCAGCTATAGCCCGGTCATTATAGCTGCATCTGGTCTGGAACTTGCCACAAATACGGCTATAATGACCGGGCGTTCTATTCGGGTGAAGACGGTAGGAGCAGAGAAAGACGGGCAGTGCAAGGGGACAGACGGGTCGTGCGAGCTCGGTGATGGGTCAGCGACGGAATTGCGTGGGGGTGGAGGTCCTCACCATGTGGATGGAGAGCGAGGTGACGCTGTGGTGAGGACACGTGTCCGGTGCCGTTTCGGCTGCGCAACAACTTGCGCAAACGGGGACAGAAAGGCTGTGGAAGCTGTGCAAGCTGTGCGAGTTTGGTGATCATGTGGAAAACGGAGCATGACGATCACACCTCAAAAGAAGAGCGGTGTGGGACGGAACTGCGTAGTTTGCTGGACGCAGGCGTGGACATGAGCTAGCCTCTCTCTATCACTCTGCATGCATGGCTAGAAAACCCTCTCTCTCTCTCTCTCTCTCTCTCTCTCTCTCTCTCTCTCTCACACACACACACACACACACACACACACACACACACACACACATGAACAGATTTGTGCGCTCTGTATGAGAGCATCGTCATGCTTTTATGACTACTGGGTGCTGAACAAGAACAACCATCCATGATGTGTTGAAAGGGATATGCAATCTTGACATTCAGGGTCACCGTGGTTAACGAGGAAAATCCAAGATGCATTGAAATGGGTGTTAAACACCATGTCTTGATCTCTATGAGACTCTATGAAGTGGGTTTGAGCTTGGTCACAAAGTGTGAGTGCATCCTTTGATGCCACTAGGAGGAGAGCGGACACAAGGAGAACTTCGGCTCATCTTGGACGGACTTGTTGCGGACCGGGGGAGCTTTGAATCCATTCTATATCAGCACAACCAGGGAAGGGGAGCCACACAGCTGGGTGCAGTGGCAAATCATTGGGAAGATTGCTAAAGGCAGCGGGATAATTTTCGCGGTGGTTGAGAAAGCGCTCGAGTTTGTTCGCAAAAGTCAACACCCGCCTAGTCATGTCCAAGATCACCACCACAGAATCCCCAGATTCATTAAACGTCCTAATCCCAGAGAGTTTATAAAATGTCGACGACATTGCCCATTGTTTGGGTGCCGCGGACGTGAGGTCAGCATTCAGCCACCATCCATTGTGCTCTGTTGGCCTGCCAGAACTGTCTGTTGCAATTGACGAAACGATACCAGCAGCGGCAGACTTGCTGCCGGAAGTCTCGAAGCGGATTCTCCATATGTGCAAACCACTCCGAAGAGGTAACCGCATCATTGCAATTTCCATATAATCTGCATCTATGCGCTCCACTCGCTGCGGAAGATCCTCAGAGATCACGTAAGTCAAACTCGGATCGCAGGCCCACAAAGACGGGACCAAAATGTCATCGTAAGCACTGCAAATTCCATCTTCGTCCGCTTTCACAGGCGCAAATGAGACTCTGGGAACCAGGGAGCGCCACGGTATTTTGAACAGAGATTTGGGTGACAAGCAAGTAGAAAGGCAGATCGACTGCACCTTGTAGACTGCCGACAGAACCTCTGGACGCACAATTTGCAGGGGCTCAATTCTCTTCTTCACAAATAATGGCTCAACAAATGCTAGGTTGATGTACCCCTCAAATATCTCCTGCAAGTCCTTCCTTGACAGAGAACCGTCTACTACTATATCCGCATCAGAGTCCTTCTCACATTCTGAACATTCAGGCGACAGAGACGCAATAGGTTTTTTTTTAGAGTGTTCAGCAGCGGAATCGCCCTCCTCCACAGATGGCGCCGGGCAATTCTCTTGCCGAAAAGTAATGATATTGATTTGGTTGGGCGCAGCAGAGAGAACAGCCTCCGCAATCATTGTCTCAGTTACATCGGGATGGAGCTGCACGTTCTCGAGGACGTACTTGATGCTTTCCTTACTCCACCCCTTGAATGACGCCGAGTCGAAGGCCAACGCCTCATTCATTGCTCTCACTGCCGCCTTCAGGATTTCCTCTGCTCGCACAGGAATCGCTGCGCTTAGCAGCTTGCCGAATTCACATGCATGACCAGATCTGGGCACCCGGCTTGCGATCCTACGGCATAAGCTATCCACCTGATACTGTGTAGCCAAGCAGTAGACTTCAACGATCTCGTCCCAGGAAGTTTGAGACTTCCACCTGAGGCGATGACCGTGCAGGTACCTGACCACAATCTGCAGACTGTCTGCCCTCACAGTAGGAAGATGAATCCTGTCCATCGATCTCTCCTTCATGTCCCCATACAGCAATTTGGAGAAGTACACATTGCCACTCGCCAATAAAGCTCGATTCGCCCTCACCTCTAGGCCATCCTCACAAACGAAGGTGACGTCAAGCAGCTCTGGGCGATCGAGAATGTTCCGTGCAGCATACAAAACCTCGTCCTCCTGCTCGACATTCACCTCCTCCTCGTCCTCCTCGTCCTTCTCCTCCTCCTCCTCTTCATCTTCCCCCTCCAACACCTCTTCCTCCCCCTTTTCCTCCCTGCTCTCCTCGTCCCGATCCGCCTCCCCGTGAAACGACAAGGGAGATGATCCTGGATACAAGGAAGCCTCAGAGTCTCTGTGAGTCACCTTTCTCTTCCTGGTAGGAGTGCCTCTTGGATTGGTCATTCTCGTGGGTGGGATCTTTGCAAAGAAGCCCTTCAACGCGTGGATATTATTTTGCTTCTTCGGGATCATATACATAATGTTCCACAAAAGAACGAGGGGGGAGCACATAAATACAAGACAGCAAAAGGCAAGCAAGAGAGAGGCATGCATTTCGGAAATTAGGAGGGACTAGTTGAAGCCCAACAACAGCCTGAAGCTGACATGACTGGCATGCGGGGCAGAAAATAGTACAGAAAAAAAGGCAGAAAGATTTAAAAGAGTCTAAGAGACACAGAACAAACTGTGTTCAAGACTCAAGAGTGCTCCGGAAATGAAGAGTACTGGCTGCCACAAGGATGCACCTGCAACTTGAGGGGGCATCCACAGCTGCACCATCGCAGTCACAGTTCTGAGTTTTCATTATTATCATTTATATTATATATATACATATATCGTCTTCTCCCTCTCTGCCTACGGTTTATCGGGCAGTTCTATTTGACGATATATACTACGACTTCGCTAGCTTCCTGCTACGGTTTTCTCCGGTCAGGTCGAGCGGCAGTGGTCGGG